CTCTTTCTCCATGACTCTACTGCCGTAATTACCTAATTTTTCTCCACAGTACTTTATACCACATGACATTAAATATATTTATTTGCTTTTTTGTTGTCTATTTACCATCCATCAACTAAAATGTAATTCCATAAGATACTTTATCATCGTATCCACAGTAACTAGGACAGCGTTTGGCACATGGTAGGCATTCAAAAAACACTTGTTGACTGGATGAATTAAGATGTTCATGCTTACTTCAAATACTAGAACTTTGGCATATTTAAGGAGAAACTTGCAAATTTTTGGGATGGTGGTGATTTCCAATACTCAGCTTTATATGTAGCCTTATGTACTATGTGTATCATAAGGAATCCCCCTTTATTATTCTAACCCTAAGTAAACTTTGTCTACACACAGCAAGTTATAATAGTGATGCCCTCAAGGTAACGGAGATGCTCCCCAGTGGGAGTGACAGGAGCCCCAAAAGAGCATCCACTACTACACTCTAAACAACAGCCCAGAATCCTACTACCATGTGGACTCAAAAAACAAAACAAAACAAAAAACGAGGGTCTCCCTTTGACATTCCCAGAAAACTAGACTTTCCACAGAGTGTGAGATAGAGGCTCGTATTATTCTGGTGAGAAGTAGAAGGAAAGGTGACCCATAAGGCTGAAGATGCACCACCCAGAGCGGTGGAGGCTGACCTCAGGGTGAAGGAGACACTTGGGCACAGGTGATCCAGTCCTCACTGAGGTGGCATTCACCTGCCTTCTAGGTGAGCGTCCAGTTAGCTGTCTATAGCGCCAACACATTGGTTTCCATGCAATCTTAGAGGCCAGGCACTACCAATAGCTGTATTATTTCTGAATCTAGCTCAGAAAAGGGATTCTGATTCCCTTTTTCTAGAATGTCTTCAATCTGCCTCTTGGTGATCCAAAGAAAGAAAGAAAAGAAAAATTTGTCTCTAAGAACAACAGACTTGAAAAAAATACATAAATGAACATGTGGTCCCCATACCTCCTTAGAGAAGGATTGAGGAATGTGTAGAGATTAATCCAGTAAAAAGAGCTTGTACTCTGGCTTTGAGAGGCCAGGCTTTTCCCTTCAATCTCCCTCTTCTGAAGAGCTATTGTCTTACATTAGTCACTCTCAGAATGATGCCCACAGTAGAGTTCTCTTCCTGTTAAGCTGTGGTAAGTCAAAGCCTACTTCAGAGAATACAAAGCCACCACTCTGGGGGGCTAAAGAAAGACATGGTTTTTGTGTGTTTCTGGTTTTTTGAAAAGTAAAAAAAAAGAAAGAAAACCTCAAACTGTCAAAATAGAAGCAATCTTCTTATGTGTGTATTCTACTTCGGGTTCAGCTTTTCATGAAGGAACAATGTCAAGTCTCGTTTTCAATGAATACTTCAAAAGCTTTGGGATTTTGACACTCCTTGTGTTCTAAGTTAAAGAAAAACGCCTCAAGGCTTCTAAAGGAATTGTTAGTATCTCTTCCCTGGAACAAGTACTTGAAGCACATAAGCTATAATCCTACCTTCTAAAAATTCCAGAGGCGTCCTAGTACAGCTCAGAGTGAGGAATGTGCTGGTAGGGCGATGACTAGCTGATGCAACAGGTCATCCCAGGATGCCCCAGCCCATTCCCACTTCTTCCTTGCTCTAATACTATTATAAGGAAAGGTCTATTGCCAGAGAACCATGGTCCAGGTCCAGCATGACCCTGAGCACTGGCGCCCTAGATGGTTGAATCCAAAGCAGGAAAAAAGGTGAGAAGGATTTCATCATGATGACTGGAAATACAGCCCGAAAACCAAAAGAAAGATAGTTCCTCTCTTATTTTCTCCATAATCAGGACCTAATTATCCAGAGCAAATAAATGAAAGAATAAATGACACACATTCTGATCTAGAACTTTGGTTTTATACATTAATTTATCCAACAGATATTATTGACTATATTCAAGATGATTGTTTTAGCTCTGGAATTTCCCTTGACCTTCTAATGAACTCAAGGTTGTGATGTGAGGAACCAATTATATCTTTCTTGTTTTCCAGAGTTATGAATTAGGATGCATTGTTTGTTTCACCTGTGGCTTCAAACTCCGAATGGACAATCTCCTCAAAACTAGGTTGCACACACACTCTCATTCAGGAAGCCATATTAACACAGACTCACTGGCTCTATAAAATACCCACATACCAAGAGCTGAGAGGTCATTTGGACAAATATTTATTGAATGCCTCATATGGCCATACACTGTGTTAAGTGATAAGGATAGAGGGCTAAACGAGCTGCTTTTGTCACTTTTATTCCAGTGAAAACAACAAATATTCATAAATGGTCAAAAAGTAACGTAAGCACAAATTATAAAACCTACTAAGGAAGAAAGAAATAGAAATGAAATAATGAGGAAGCAGGGAGCTCTACTTGGGATGATCTGAGGAGGAGACATTTGAACACTGCGTGAGGAACCTGGAAAAGAGAATCCTGGGAAAGAAAATGGAGGCCACATAGGCAGCCACACCTGCTGAGCTTAGTCCGTACATGAGATAAAGCTAGAACTGGAGGGAGATGAAGGGGAAAGAAAAGTTTGGGGTGTTTTGTTTGGGTTGTTGATCCATGAGAAGCAACTTGAACATGTGTACAACTGCTGAAATGATTTAATTGTTTGAGGATAGTTTGAGAATTCAGAAAAGAGTGGAAAAATAAGTAGTAAAATGAGGAGGAACTGTGAGTCTAGTGGATGAATGTTCATTCTCTGCCTCTACCGTAAACAGATCAAAAGAGGTTATCGTGTAGATGCAGATGGAATCATGGAAGGAGACTTACATGGTGGAAGGAAAGGGATGTGGCTGGTTTGCCACAGAAATAAATGTGACATAAATGACACAAAGTGTGAAGTAAGTGCTTGCTAGGAAACAGAAGAAAAAGTGTTGGGCAATGTTGCACAACAATTTGAGATCTGTGATCATTAAGGGAAAGCAGTGGGGTTTTTGTTGTTGTTTGCTTTTTGCAGTACTGGGGATTGAACCTAAGGCCTTCACCTTGAGCTACACAACCACCCCGTTATTTTTTATTTGGATACAGGTTCTTAGTAAGTCACTAATTTTTCCAGGGTAGCTTTGAACTCACAATCTTTCTGCCTCAGCCTCCTCCTTAAGTGCTTGAATTACAAGTGTGTGCCTCCTCCTTAAGTGCTTGAATTACAAGTGTGTGCCGCCATACCCAACCAGCAGTTAGTTTTAACTAGGGGTAATCTGTTCTCCCCTTATTACCAGGGACATTTGATGATGACTGGAGTTTTCTTATCGTCACATGTGGGGGTAGCACTGGGTAGAAGATTCTGCTGGCATCTCAGGAGTAGAGGGCAGGGATGCTGCTAAATGTAATACAATGCATAGAACAGTGCTCCTTACAAACAGTTGTCCAGGTCACTATGCCAACAGAGCCAAGACTGAGAAACCCTGCTGGAAAGGGATGTCACATTTATGTACAGAGCATCGCTACATAAGAAGTGAGCTTCTAGGAAAGCAGAAATGGGGCCATGGGACAAGTTGGGAAGAGTACCTACATTCATTCTATATCATTGTACACATTTTAAATATGTACCATGTGCATGTATTACCTATTCATATCAACCAAAACATAGAGATAAGTCAGTAAGAGACTGTTAATTCAGTGACTGCATAACAGATACAAAATAAAAATAAAACCAATCAGCTTGTTTGGGTAACTTTTTTCCAGCATTATCTGGGTGCTGAGTTACCAACTGAAAAAAAAATGTAAGATTTTCTTTACACTGTGGAAAGGGGGCACATAGTGGAAGCAGAGAGTATTTTGAAGTTAAAGGTCTTTCCAAGGTATTGGTTTGCGGGACAGAAGATGGAATTTAAGATGGAGAGAAAGAGGGACGACGATGAGAAAAGCGTTAATGTTAGTATAAGAAAGTGATAGAGTTTATTTATCAGTGAGTCTCAATATTTTAAAGACATTTTAGGAAAGAAAATGCAGCGATTGAACTGAAATAATAAGAGATAATGTTGTGAAAATAAGACAGCTAAAATCAAAGTCTAAAGGAGGTACTGCAATTTTTGTGATAATGAATTCTAGGGAGAGCCCATGGTTGTGAGTAGTTGAAGAAAATAGAAAAAGGGTGTTTAAGTGACAAGCATGGGAATCCAAGAAAACAAGAGTCTGGTGGATTTCACAGATCAGAGGCTTCCAGTAGAATGAAGTGCTTCTGAAAGAGTGGCTTATTACAGTAATGATAGATTTTCACTATATGTAAAATATATATACTATGTATATATCAGCACCTTTTTGCCCAAGAAACGTTCAGCTGACCTGCTCAGAGACTGCAAAATTAGTAAGTGGGAGAACAAAGATTCAAATCCAGATTTTTTTTAGTCTGAAGTCCGTTCCTTTCCACTAAGTAATGGATCTGATCCAGGAAGACAAGCTGCCATCAAATACACGGAAAGCTGGCTGAGTTTAACACTGGTAATGCCATCAGTTATGGAAACTCTGAATGAAGGAAAATACATAGGAAAGAAAGTAGAGAAAGAGATAAGGAAAGCCTGGCAAAGACGGAAGGATTTGCTACATAGTTCTTCTTGTCTTCATAAATTTCTCCTAAAGTGGTATGGAGTTGTTAGGAATGAAGAAATCATAGATAGGAGAAATAACAAAGAAGTTAGTTAATTCTGAAAACTATATTCACAATATTTTTCTGTATTTTATTTTTAATTTTTTTTTCTAAATCCAGTAAAGGCCAAAATTCTGTATTCTAAAATATAGATTTTATTACATATCTTCTGTCCACTGGAAATGGAAAAAATATAAATACTGATCATATTAAAGGAAAACAGCATGAGTAGCTGAATATCAGCATGTGATAATCTAATATTTTTGAGGACTATTAGAGTTGGTTGCCAAGAAGCATTCAAAATCTACCACTAAATGCAACACATTTTCCAAACACATATGTACTTCATAATTTCCATACTCTCTCTGCTTATGTGACTCTTTAAATCTCTCCCTCTCTCTCTTCTGTCTTCCACACACACACACACACACACACACACCCTTACAACTGTACTGGAAATATACATGCTGTGTAGGAAATGGACTGGACCCCCCAGAAGATCCTCTGGTTTCTCTGTTAGCATCACCTGGTGGCTCAGGATGAGCATATAAAAGTGAAAATGGTACCAGTGGGGCATGGCATTCCTTCAGTCTCTTTAGCTTATGCAAGACTGGTCCTCCTTTTCCATCCCTCACACATTCATGTCACAGCCACATATCTGAAAGACGGCTCCCTGAGGTAGCAAACATACCCTCCCTCGGAGGTGAGTTAAAGGCTGCCCTTTTCCGTGTGCTAAAACGTTCTTGGCCACATGAGTCTAGAACACTGGACAGCTGCTTCTCTATGCCTTCACATCCCCATGAGGCAGCCCAGAGCTTTGTGTAAGTCAGTCCTGTTCCTCTTCTCGTCTGTCTCACGGATCTTATGTGAAGCGAGGAACTACAGACCTGCTGGACCTTGTTTACTCGAAGTCTCTGTGGTTCGTGTCTTCTCAACCTCCAGCAGGTTTAAGACTCTCATTCTGGACAGTACTCCCGGGGCTTCTCACAAGGAACCATAGTGGGGAAAATCCTAAACTGCCTTTCCTAGAGCTTATATAGGCCAAAAAATGTCTTTGATTCCTCAAAATTGACCAGAGAGAGCTCTGAGACGTTGACATATAAATGGTCAGCACTGGTGAGATTGAACACTGCTCCCAAGTAACTGCTGCGGGCCCACATCTGGCCAGTAGTGCAGTAGCTCATCATCTTCCCCTCCATCAACACCAGATCCTGGTGATACCTAGAGTTCCTCATGTAGACCTTGTGGCTCAGGGGCTGATTGTCGCAAGACTGACCCCGGAAATATACTTTGGAATATACAAAGTATAGCCCAGTGTCATTGATCACAAGGCTACCCTTCTTATACTTCACTCCAGAGATCAGGGCAATTCCGTAGGTGTCTTCCCATTCCAGAGGGATGGACCTGGAGTGGAGCTTGCCTGAAATAAATCAGAGAGGTGCTTTCAGCCAGGAATGCTTAGGTATCCAATAAGCTAAGCTTTCAAGGCAAAACTATGGGCCCTTTCTGTATGCAACTGGTACGATGATATATACTTCCAATTAACTGTGGTGGGAAATACTGATAAAGTTTTAATTATCTAGGATAAAGACTTTATGCTTTTCAGAACAAGCACCAAAAAAATGCTATGCTTTGAGATTTGCTCTATGAAGGGAAAAGCCACATCTAAGAAATTTTAAAATTTAAAAGATCTTAGGGATCATCTTGTCTATCTTCTCACAATAAGGGTTCCTCAGCCCCTCAGTTTGAGCTAAAAATCCCACAGCGTTATATATACTTTCAAGAAACTCTGTCCTGTGCTGAAATTATCACTATGTGCCTATCTTGTCCAGTTAGATTTCAAGCTCCCCACCATGTGCTACCCATCGCCTTGCTCCCCAGATCCTGGCACACAGATGGTGCTCAATAAATGTTGGCTGATCCGATTGAACCCTTCCATAGTCTGCACCTTACTCATTCCGGGAATTGTAACACAGCACTTTTTGTGGTTTTCAGATAATTACAGTTTACAGAGGGAGTCTCATACTGCACTGTCAAGGAATTTCACTTCACGTTAGGGTCATACGGTAAAAGCACACACATACCAGGACAGAGCCTCCTCTACTGCATACTCCTGCTCCTACTTTTGAACAAAGCCGAATGGAGCTCTCCCAGAAAATCAGGGGGGGTGCTGATTAAAATAATTTATCCTGCACCTTCTCAGGGCTCTCCTTAAATTGGTGTCACAAATCCCCAAAGGGCCTTTTGGGTGACCGGAAAGAGGGAGCTGCTTGTGAGCTGTTATCACATCACACACACAACTCTACAGCTTCGGTTCAGGATTTTCTCAGAGTAGAGGCACGAGAGTGACCTGAACACAAAGATGCAAATATCCTTGGTTCCAAATACCGTCACCAAAAAAAAAAAAAAAATGATCTCCCTCAAGGCCCAGGAACATAAACCAAGTACCATTTTGCTTTTGCCAGAGGCTTCCCACGCCCCCACCTGTACCTTCCTTCCAGACACAGACCTGTCAGGTGGGCCACTCTCCTCGGCTGCTTTTCTTCAGAGGGTGAACTGGGGTGTCCTGTATGGTAAGCAGATAAAAGACATAGGTAAAAATGAGAAGCCAACTACTGCTTTTGTAGGTCTCTAAATTCTTCAATTTAAATAAAAGACTTTAAAAGCATAAATGGTGACATTCTGGTATTCATTCATCATGCAAAACCAAATTGTTGAACACAGCAGTGTATATTTCAGAAACAGAGGGGTTAAAAAAATGAAGCCAAATTAAGGGAGACCTATGCACAAATTATAGTTACAGTAAAATATGGTTAATGCAAACACAGATGTATGAAGAGCCATGACATTCACTGCCCCTTTAGAACTTGAGGTAGGATGATTGTCCCTCTTGATAGTTGGCAAACTGAGCTTAGAAGGTGGATGACTAGTGTCAGTGTCATTGACACTGCAGGCTCCTGGGTCGAGTCTAGGGCTCTTTCACCTCTCTTGCTGGTTCTGACTCCCCTTTTCTGTAGTAACTGTAAAGATCATCTTACACTTCTCCTCCAAGTAAATGGCAGTCTCCTTACTGCATTTTGAACTCACGAGAGCCCAGCATCTTATATGGGGCATGCCATCAGAAAATGCTTGTCAAATGAAACTGAAGGACTTCAAACTGACAATATTTCTCAAAACAGATATTTCTCTGACTGCAAATATTTCAGCCAAAGTTAACAAAACCTACCACTTAGGTAATTAAGTCAGCTGGTGAAGGTGTACAAAAAAGATTTACAACAAGCTAGATATTCATCTCAGGTTTGCAATTAGCCTTTAAAACCCACACTAGGTATAAGAATGGCCCAAGGCCTTGCAATATTACCTGAGCAATCATGACCTTTAGAGCCGCTCCAGACAAGCCACTTTGAAGGAAATGTGAGTGAACAGGAAAAGTTAAAGTTGAGTCTCTTCTACATTCCTACAGCACAAACCATCTGAGCAGCTTGAGCAGCTGATCTAGCTTTTAGCCATGTACTAACAGGAAGTAGAACACAGAACCCCAGGCTCTATATCATTTCGGGCGGGTACTGGAAATTGAACTGAGGACCTTGAGCTTGCCAGGCACAGCACCACTGAGCTAAATCCCCAGCCCTGCTCTATATCTTTATATTTCTCACAGAGCCTAGTATAATGTTATTCTCATAAAAGATACAAACTACAAGTATCTGCTGGGTAAATACTAAAAGTAGACATAGTGATGACTGTTTTCTGCCTCAGGGCCTTTGCACATGCCCCCCCCCCCAGTATGGAATGGTCTCTGCCCTACCCGCACTTCACAACACATACATATTACTCTTTATTTGGCAGGCTTCTGATCCCTTCATTGGTGGCAACCTTAGAAGATACTTTCCTCACCATGCCACCTTGGACCACCTTCAATACAATTTGAAATCATCTTACTTGTTTGCTTGCTTTTATCTTAGCCACTAAGCTAAAAGTCCCAGACCCCCTTGTTATTCTCACTCTTAGTTACCTCCCAACATCCAGCCTGACATACAGAGGACACTCAAAGAACATTTGTGGATGAATCAAATATTTAGTTAGCAAGGCCTGGAAAATTAAACAATAAAAAGAGGAGTAAATAATAAAGTATAAATAGTCGGTAACAGTAACTTCCAAAGAAAATCACTGTTACCATGTTGGTATGTGCCATCTTGCAGTTCTTTCTGAGAGTACAAAATATGTACATATAGTCACACAGTGTTACCCTAGGCACACCCCTTTGTAACATGTCTTTTACTTTATGATTTGCAGTGCACCTCCTCACTGTACTAAATGTTTTCTCCTGTGTGGCTTTTAGTTGTTGCACACTATACTCTCATGTGAATACTCCATGCTGCGTTTAGCTATTTTATTTGGAGGCATTTTGGTTTCGGCCGAATTGTTGGTTATAACTAGCCTTGTGAGGAAATGATGGACATACATGCCTGAATCCTTGGGAACATCTCAATTTTCTTAACGTAAGCTTTTAGTGATGGAATTACAAGGTAAACTAGTAGTTCAAGACTTTGATACATATTTCCAGGCTCTTCTTTAGAAAAGTTATAGTGATTTACATGCATACTGGCTAAAACTATTTAAGAATGTTTTCTTTTTTGATCTTTATTAGGTTTATTGGTATAATTTAGGTATCCAATACAGCTACATTCATCATTGGGATTTTGTACCTTTACAAACTTATCTTGGATCTTATTTTTCCTCTTTCCTCAGCCCGCCTTCCAACCCCTCCACCCTTCACATTATTTCCATGTTTTTCCTTTTTACATATTTTTTCTTTTCCCTTTTCACCTTTCCCCTACCGTTCCCACTTCCTCTACTATTTTAGACCTTTTCTTCCTATTACACAACATCATTTATACATTTTGATCATTATTTACACTGTTAGTTTTTCACACCAGAGAAACCATTTGGTATTTACACGTGTGACTTATTAATTTCACTTAAGAGTATGGTCTCAGTGTGCATCCACTTAACTATAAATATCTCTAGGTTCTTGTTCTTTATGGCTGACTAGTACTTCATTTTATAAACAAACAAACAAACAAAAACACATCTTCTTAATCCAGTCTCCAGATGATTATTACAATTAGCCTTTAAAACCAACTGGGCAACTGGGCTGTCTCCAAATTTTAGCCATTCTTAAGCAGATTATTTTCTTTCACATCTTCGGCCAATCTTTTTTTTTTTTAATCATTGCTAATTTGGTGAAATAGGTGTCCCCTTTAAAAATTTGCATCTCTTATTACAGAAGTTGCTAATTTGATTTCCATGTGATAAATTTCTGATCCAACTATGCTGCTATAAAGAAGCTAATTGTGTTCTGGGGTAGGTAGATCTGACTCATTTGACTTGCAATCACTGAAATCACCCCACAGAGTGGGTGAAAGATGAGTAACTAGGTACCTATTTCAGCAGCCTGATTCCACTGTTTTCAAAGTTATCTGACTTTGGAAATCCTACAGATGTTTTCTTTCTCTAACAACTATTTCCACCCTGCTGTGAACATCTGGATTTCTAACCTGTAGGAATTTGGACCCAGGACTGGGGACCAGAACATTCCAGTGATGGTTCCTACAAGAGCGGACTTCACTGGTGGCCAGTGCTGCCTGTTGCCTTCTGTTTGTTTCCCATTTCTAAGGATAAGGTTTACCCACTATCTTTCCAAAGGAGTCCTTTTTGCGTCTACTTCTCCTTCCATGGCATTATACAGAGATAGGAGTTTCTCTACTTCCTGAGGCACCAACCCATGCACCAGGAGACTCTCTTCTGGCCTATTCCACCCGAGTGGTCTTGGGCATATCATCTAATTTCTCTGGTACTTTGTTTCTCTTCTGAAAAGATAATGAGATGGCTGGACTGCATATGTTCTAAGCTATCTTCCAACTCAAGCAAAATCTAAAAAATTTCAGTTAAGACAAATGAGGCATATCCTAAAACCCTTCTGTCCACATCTTCCACAACTATGCCCTATAATTTCATGTAGTCACTGTTCAACATCTTCCTATCCTGGATCTCATACAAAGGATTTTTCCTCCATGGGTAAAGCTGGACGAATCCTTCCAATAATGGCTAAAATCTTTCCCCAAACCTCCCAGTGATTTCAAAAGAACCATACTAATGTGGGCAATCCATTGCCCACTTTTTAAAAGCTTAGTTCAATCCTATAAAGTATTTAAAACAAAGCTTAACTCCTAAGCCATCACTTTTAGAGAATTTAAAAGAGGAGAGGACATTGCCTAGGCATATCTGTGTCTTCCCCTGCCTCCTCTTCTCTCCTAGGAGTTGCAGCTACGGCCATGTGTGCTGAAGCCAGGACACTGAGGAGAGAGTCAGGTCTGGATCAGCTGCCCAGAGCCAGGGGCAAAGTTCCAGGGTCACTTTCCAAATGTCAAGTGAAAACTGTGTGCAGTGCTTGCCCACACTGATTTTGAGCAATTAAATTCACTTAAAGGTATCTTTAAGTAGTCCATACTGACCAGATACTCAGAATTAACCAGGATTCCTCTTACTACATTCATCAGCCCAACAATGGGACAGAACTCCCATTATCCCACCAACTTTGTTCAGTGCAGAGGATTATCTTTGGGAGACTCAGTGCACACGAATGAAAGGACTCACCTACTTGCTGCTCCAGAGATGATTCTGTGTGACTTTGGCTGGTGGACTAGCACAAGAGAAAGAGAAAAGTTGTATAATAAATTCAGTGACTTAAGCAAAGGAGGAAAACTGTCAAATAAAGCAAGCCCTGGAGCTAATACGGATATCTCAAATCCTTACTAACTTTGACTATGTCCAAGCAATTGTGCCTCACTCTCCCTCAGTTCTGAGGCTGGCGTAGTGCCAGTATCTGCACGTCTTTTCAAGGAGACTTACTTTGGCTACTTGGAAGTTTCCTTCCAAGCAAGACTCAAATTTCCTTTTATTACTCGAATTACTAGGTGTGAGGTAATATCTTCATAGGGTGACTGGACAACTGAGAAAAGAAGAATTGTTCGCCTCTGATTTTTTTACTAGTAAGAAAATATTCCCTTTATTTATATGACCCTCTGTTTTTAGTACAGGAGGAAAAATGTCTTAAAGGTTACTTTATAAGCAAAGCAGCAGTCCCTGTGGCCCACAATAGCCTTCTCACCCCCTACTGCAGCACCGCAGTCCTCTGTCCAGTGATGCCAGGGCATAGCAGCCCAAACGCCTGACTTACCTCACGGAGCTGTGCTAGCTCCTTCTGGAGGTGGAAGAGTTGATACATTCCCAGCCCCAGTCCAACCAGGGCCACGAGCACCATGGAAAACATCACAAAGAGATACAAGTCTGTGTTGCGCTCCCTCCTCTTCTTTAAAGGTGGCGGTGGCAGTGGGGGCAGCCGTGGCAGCGGTGGCGGTGGCGGTGGTGGCAGCGGCGGTGGCCTCCTTTGACCAGGCCTAGAGGACAGGCAGGGGAAAACTGGCTCTGGAGGGGCCCAGGCAGAGTTGGTACTGTTATTTACCCAGTAGATCTGGGGATATGGGTAATTTGGGTGCTGCTGCATGGCTGCTAGTGACTTGGGCCAGCGTGGCAAAGATTTTCACTTCTCTCAGTCCTGTGCAGGCTGAGGCATCACAGACAGGTCCCCTGGTGCTGACTGCAGAAGAGAAAAGTTGGCTCGGTCTTTATAGAGTTTCCATGGCCAAGGGAAACACCTCTCTCTTGTCCTCTCTTTCTACGTTTGAGAGAGGCACCCACTCACTTAGCATCTTAAGCAGAGAAACCTCATCAGCGCAGAGCGAACCCCTGGAAGTTTCCGCCCACAGATTTCTGGTAAAAGCCTTCTTAGCACCAGTGGTTGTTGCTATGCTATCTGAAAACAGACTGGCATGCTCTGCTCATCTTCCCCTGGGCTGCAGAGCAGGTCAGCACTGGGAAGAGCTGTGTGGGCATTAACTCCTGCACCTCTACAGGGAGAGGGGCACATTTGAGCATTGAAGGGTGAGACCAGGGACTTAGCACAGAAGTCACAGTCACATCCTATCCTTTCCATGAAGCAATTATCTCCCTGCAGCTGACCCTTCTCATACCTAGGTTGCTACTTACCCTGACACAACTGATCACTGTAGTTGAATTCATAGGTTAGAGAAGCAACATGCCATGCCACAAAGAATAACAGTTTCCTGTGCCCAGGAGCCTGTTTTGATGTCCCGGCCTTTTGTTCCACCATGGTGGTCCCTGATGATCTCACCTATGACCTCCTCTTCTCTGATTCATTCTGTGGTAGACCAATCGGAAGCTCAAACTGCCTCAACTCACTGACTATCCTCCAACCACAGAGAACTGGAACAGAAATATGACAGCTACCTGTAAACCCTGCCGTAGAGTTTGTTAAGGCCACCAAGCACCACGTGTTGACAAAGTGATGGAAGAATATCAACCACAGGGACCCTGTGATTTCTAGGGATACCACACTTTATTAACTGGAAGAAATAACCAGTCAGATTAGGTCTTCGGTTAGGATTGGAGGTCCTATTTGACCCAGCTATTCCCCTTCTGGGTATCTTTCCAAAAGAATTAAAGGCATCATAGCACAACAATATACACGCACTCGTGTTTAGAGCCACACAGTTTGTAATGGCTAAATCATGGGAACAGCCCGGATGCCCATCAAGCAATAAGTGGATTTTAAAAAGATGGTGAGATAGATATAGATATATATATATAT